AATGTAAAATAGATAGCTAGTGGGAAATATCCACATAGCACAGGGAGATCAGCTCAGTGTTTTGTGACCACCTAGAGGGTGGGATAAGTAGTGTGGGAGGGAGACGCAAGAAGGAGGAGATATGGTGATATATGTATATGTATAGCTGACTCACTTTGTTATAAAGCAGAAACTAACACACCATTGTAAAGCAATTATACTCCAATAAAGATGTTTAAAAAAACATCCTTTATCTGGTAAAGTTGTCCTTTAGATATGAAGGAGAAATAACTACTTTCCCAGACAAACAAAAGCTGTGGGAGTTCTCAACCACTGGATCTACCTTGCAAGAAATTCTGAAAGAAGCAGAAATGGAAAGGAGGTGAGAAGGCACAGAGTGGCTACATGGAAAAAAAGACCCAACTATATACTTACTGTACACAAGAGGCTTTATACACTTTAGCTCCAAAGGCACACATAGGCTCAAAGTGGTTAGAAGAAGATATCCCATGCAAACGGAATTCAAAAGAAAGTGGGTAGCCATATATATATATATATCATACAAAATAGACTTCAAGCCAAAAACAGGAATAAGAGACAAAAGGGCCTTTATATAATGATAATGAGCTCAATACATCAAGAATATATAATAAGTGTAAATATATATGCACCCAACATAGGAGCACCTAAATGTATTAAGCAAATACTAACTGATCTGAAACGAGAAATAGACAATAATACAATAATAAAAGGGCAATCCAATACCTCACTCTCAGCAATGGATAGATCATCGACAAAGAAAAACCAAAAGAAAATGTTTAAACCGAACCAAACTTTAGAACAATAAACTTAACAGACATATATAAAACATTCCATCCAACAGCTGCAGCATACACATTTTTCACAAATGCAGATGGTACATCCTCCAAGATAAAGCATATAAGACACAAAACAAATCTTAGCAAATTTCAGAAGATTGAAAGCATTCTCTTTTCTGACCACATTGGTATGAAACTAGAAATCAACAAAAGGAAAGCTAGAGAATTTACAAATATGTGGAAACTAAACAACACACCTTTAAAAAACAAAAGAAATCAAAAGGGAAATTTAAAAATATCTCAAAACAACTGGAAAAGGAAGTACAACATACCAAGTCCTATGGGATGCTGCAAAAGCATTTCTGAGAGGAAAGTTTAAAGCAATAACTCCATATACTATGAAACTAGAAAAAAAAAATTAAACAACCTAACTTTAAACCACAAGAGCATAAAAAGAAGAAAAATTAAGCACAGGATTAGGAGGATGAAGGAAATAATAAATATCAGAGCAAAATAAATAATACAGCAACCAGAAAAACAATAGAAAAGATGAAAAAACTAAGAGCTGACTTTTTAAGGTAAACTAAATTGACAAATCTTCAGCTAAACTAACTTAAATAATGAGAAAGAAGACTCAAATAATAAAATTAGAAGTGAAAGAGGAGACATTACAATTGATATTACATAAATACGTAGAATCATAAGAGACTACTATGAATAGTTATACACCAACAAATTAGATAACCTAGAAGAAATGGATAAATGTTTAGAAACACACAACCTAGTAATGCTGATTCAGGAAAAAAAATAGAAAATCTGAACAGAACAATAACAAGTAAAGAGACTGAGTAAGTACTCAAAACCTCCCAACACAGAAAACCCCAGGACTAAACAACTTCACTGGTGAATTCTACCATACATTTTAAAAAGAATAAATGCCAATCCGTCTCAAGCCCTTCCAAGAAATTGAAGATGAGGGAACACTTCCGAACTCATTCTACAAGACCAACATTACCCTGTTACCAAAACCAGATAAAGACTCTACAAAAAAAGAAAACTATAGACCAATATCCCTGAGGAATGTAGATGCAAAATTTTCAACAAAATATTTGCAAACTGAATTCCAGAACACATTAAAAGGATTATGTACCATGACCAACTGGAATTTACCTCTGGGATGCAAGGATGGTTCAACATATACAAATCAATAAATGTAATATATCACGTTAATAAAATGAAAAAAAAAAACATGATCATCACAATAGACTCAGAAAAAGCATCTGACAAAATACAACAGATGATAAATTTTATGTTATGTGTTTTACCACCATTTTTTTAAAAGACATAATAGCCTGGCAATCAATGAAGTCTTGTAGACAAAGTCATTTTCATGGTTCATTTGAAAAGTTTCAATGTTGTGCATGCTTCCACAGTTTGGTGTACTAAGTTTTGTTTTGTTTTTAATTTTGTCTAGTTTCTCAACAACTAGAAGAATTTTGAAATGTCATCCAGAATAACCAGGACAACTTTCATAACCCTTCTAGTTAAAAGATTCATGAATGGTTCTGCAGTACTAGAGTAGACAAGGTAGACAATCTGTTCAAGTGCTTCCCCAATTGTGGGATTGGTGACGACCATAGTTTCATTTTGTACCTTAAAGTCTTCCTTTGGGAATATGCCAACAAGGAATGTCATCTGGCCTTGACTGCCAGTTGTGATACTTGATATTGTCTACACAGTCTTCTACTGTGTTAGTTTTGGCATCATTTAGTGGCCTGGGATAGACTGCACATGCTCCCACATCAATTACACATGCTCCTACATCAATCATACATCAGTTACAACCTGCGACCAAACATCTGTCTAAGTGTAAATATTTCCTTTAGCTCTTAAGAGAGGAATCACAATTGGCCATTCTGTAGCTTCTGGAAGCTTCACAAACTGTTTTCACAACCATTCTATTAATTGATTTGGACCATCAGTAAGGTAAAAAACACCTGGTTAATATTTCAGGATCATCATGATGCAAGAGATGAAAACTGAAGAGTAGAATTTGATGAACAAACTTCTCCTTGAGACAAATGTTTTAAAGTATCCAGGCTAGATTTCTAAAGACGGAAATAATGCACCAAAGGTATTAACATTTTTAAATGTTCACTCTGAAAGTATTTCAAACCTACAAAACAGTTCCAGGGGTACAGATGGTTCCCTTTTACCAGTCTTCCCCAGATGCTGACATCCTGCATAACCACAGTACAGTTGTCCAAGCCAGGAAATTAATATTTATAAAACAGTATAACTACGGATCTTATTCAAGTTTCACCAATTGTCCCACTAATGTTCTTTTTGAAAGCTTTTTTGTGGAACCTGGTGAGTATCACACATCACATTTGTTATACTGCCTTGGTCTCATCTAATTGTGGACAGATCCTCATTTTCTTTGTCTTTTACAGCCTCAACACTTTCAAAAGGTATTCAACTGTTTTGCGGACTGTCCCTCAGTTTGCGTTTGTCTCATGTTTTCTCATGATGTAGAATGCAGGCTGTACATTCTGGGCAGGAATATCACAGTGTACCTACCATACTTGGGGAGAGTGGGGTAGGACACATGATGTCTCTATCTCAATACTGGTGGTATTAACTTTGACTGCTTGGTTGTGGTGGTGTGCCTGATTTCTCCACTAAGCAGTTTCTGTTTATTCCCCCTGGATATCTTGTGAGGAAATGCTCTGCCCTCCTAAGTTTAGCATCTACTGACAGCTCTTGCCTGCAAAATTACTGCTGTGGTGTTTGCCAAATAGCAGTATTTTATTTCCATCCTTTCTACATTTATAATTGGGATTCCACTGAAGGGAGGATCTGCCCCTTTTATTTATGTATTCACATCACAATGGACCAAACATTTCCTTTTCTATGGGTATGAACAATTTTTAAGATTTTGGATGGACCTGATAAATTGCCTTCAGAAAGAGCGTACAGATTTACACTCCCTCAGGTACTACATGAGTCTGTCACCTTTCTATACCCATACCAACAGTAATTATGTACAAATAAATTCATTTGTTTAAAAAAAGGATATCTAGTAATTACTTACCTTTGCAGTTTATTGCCTCTTATGTATCTTCACTGTTCATTTGTTTTTCATCTTCCATCATTTGTTATTTTATATAACACTGCACATTTTACCCTTGTCACCTATGTGTTTACGAGATCTTTTTGCACTGAGGATATTATTACAAATGGAATTATTTGTAACATATTTTCTCAATTTCTTTGCATTTTACCTTTACTAATGAATGCCAATTTTACAGTTTTATATGGTCAAATATATTGATGTGTTCCTTTTTTATTTGTGCTGTTGTAGAAAGTTCTTTACCAAATAAAGATACTCAACATGCTCTCTTAGATTTTTGATTAAGTCCAAATTTTTATATGTATTTCTTTTATTCTTCTGGATTATATTTCACTAGGCTTTCCAACATAAACTTTTTTCTTTGTTTCAGTATTTTCCCCCAAAGTTCAGGAATTTTTAAAGGTAGAATTTAAATCACTGGGGAAAGATATATATAACTTTTAATATTAATATGATGCTAACCATCCATTTGGGGGAAAAAATTCCCTACTTCACCCTATTTATAAAAATGGATTCCACATGGATATGTGTATTTGAAAAATATTTTTTATCAGGAAAATACAAACTCTACAAATCTAGTCAGCTGGATAAATACATGGCAGATTATCTATCCCTGGACAGTTTGCTAGCATTAAAGTGAAATAAATATGATTAAGATATCCTTCATAACTGAGAGCATACACTATAAAATCTTTTTACTGTTCACGAAAAGTTTCTCTTAAGTTTCTGGTTACGTTCAAGTCTCCTTATCAGGACAGCTATACCCCAAAGCAAGATTTTTATTTGAATAAAAAGGGGTCCATAAGTTGAAATAAATAACAGTATAAAATATATATTTACAAACATTTATGATTACTAACATAAATATTAATTTATATTACATGTAGGCATAATAGAAGATGATAAAAAGATAACTGTAAGGAAGACGAGGAAAAATACAAAACCAAGTCAGGGATTCAGGTCTCTTTTTGTCAACACAACACACAAAGGCCCCAAATGCTATATGTAATTAGCTGTAAACATCTCATGACAAACCAAACATCCAGGGGGCTCCCTTTGCCCAGGATGCATTACCGGATGTGGTACGCCCTGAAGCACTTGGCATGGACGCCCTTCTGGCACTTCTCACAGCGGGTGTTGGTCTGTGAGTGGCACAGGGCACACCGGGTCCTCTTGTCCTGGTGGATGATCCAGTGCCCAATCATGTCAAAGCGGCTCTCGGTTTCCAGCCGCCTGCTTCGCCTCCCCTGGGATGATGTATCCGCGTTGCTCTCTAGGTACACGCAGGCCACATATCTCCGGAAGGCCAGAAGGTCCACCTGGGCATCATGGCAGCATATCCTGTGCAGCTGCCATGCATTGTTAAGAGCAGCGTCAATAACATAGCCAATGAAACTCGAGTACCACTTCATACCCCGGATCTTCACCTTGTACTTGGCGATGTTCTGGTCCATGCGGCCGACACCCCCGACCTTCTCCTGGTACAGCCTCAGCAGGGATGGCTGATGAACCTGGGCCTGCGTCTTGGCTGCTCCCGAGTGATGGTTGGTCAGCCCCGCTGGCTCTATGCCCACAGCGTTGGAGCAGATGTTGACCACACTGCTATCATGCCAGCGGCACACAATGATCTCCTCACTCTCATCAACTTTGTAATCAAACGAACCCCTCTTCATTCTCTTCAGTTCTTTGGGATCTTTAAGGGGACATCGTTCAGTTCTGTACTCACGAACAGTTCCTGTGGCCTTCACTCCTTTCTTCCTTAAAATGGACATCAATTTGACACTTGTAAAAACCTTGTCAAAAAATATGTGGTATGGCAGACACCCACGTGTCTGAAGTGCATCCACAAATTTCACCACCATACTGCCTCCTAGGTCCAGGCCCCTGTCTGGCTTGGTGAACAGTGTGCCCTGTGAGGGCTCGAACCACACCAAATAGCCCCTGCTGGTCGTCCCACACCAGATCTTGTAGCCCAGCCGCACAGGTTTCCCCGCAGGCAGATGCTTGGACCCCCGGTGTCCAAAGTACTCACACATAGACTCGCCAAAGCTGTAGAACTCTTCCAAGGGTGCATGCTTCTGGAAATTGTAGTTCATGCGGACAATGAGAGGCCTCACCTTGGCAAACCTATCACTTTCATCAAGCTCATTGTTATCTGCAAAATGCAGGTATGAGAAGATCAGTTCAAATCTGTCCCTTCTAATTGCATCAGCCACAAGATGATGATGTGAATCAGGGGATGTTTCCCAAAACATCCTTCTCCTTGGATAGGAGATATACCCACTTAAAATCAAAATGCCCAAAACACACTTCAATTCCTGGGCTGTGAGACCCAGGTTGACGTTCTTCTGCCAAGCATAACGATTGGTTTCATTAACAATAAAATTAATTGTTCCTTCATCAAAAAACAATTCAAAGAGGCCTACAGGACTCAGTTCCTGGCTTTTGAGATCCTCCATATGAGGATCTGATGCTGTCCAACTGGTGAAGTCCGGGCAGATATCTCTTTTGGTCCAAACACGTTGAGGTTCCACTACTGCCTTTTGCTTCTTCATGGCTGGCTGCAGCTGCGGGTCATCACCCTCCTCCCCGGTGCCAGAGTCCTCAGGCACAACAAAGGCATGCAGCACATTGCCAGGCAGGTGGGTTCCTCGCCGGCCATCTTCATCACCCGAGTCCTCATCAGTGAAGTCCCCTGAAGCACTGTTGGGCGGTGCAATGAAGATATCCTCCCTACTCTGGCCAGACTCCTCCTCCTCCAGAGCATTCAGAACCTCAAGCAACTTCATGGACTTCAGCTTTGGGCCGGTTCTTCTCCCAGTAGTGAGGCTGCTGCGATGACAGGAAACAGAATGAAGAGAGGCCATGCAGGAAAGCCAGTGCTTCAGCAGAAAACTCCACTAAAGCACTGCCCAAGAGGAGGGCACTCCCACTGCAACAGCATCTTGGATGTAACACCATAAGGCATAGTGCCAGATAAGTGAATTTTCCAGACAAACACAAATTATTCATGTAAGTGCAGAAGTATCTTAATGAAGGGAGACATTCTAAAGAGGTATTCCATACTTCCTTTCCTTCTTAAATAAAGTGTCTGAATAGAGGATCCCCTCTAGTGATGAATCCAGGTGCCACCTGGTTAACAGTAACTGTCAACGGGAAGGCTCGGCTGCCGAAGTGACATCCACCGATGTCTCCTGACTCAGTGGCCCTAGCAGCTCTGCTTTCATGCTTCTGCCTTATCTGTCTCTTCCCTTTTTCTTATTCACTTGGCATATATAAGTTTCCTCACTTCCCAAATTCTCAAACTCTCCCTACTTGAACTCTCACTATCCAAATTCAGGACCTAAACAGATTCAGACAGATTTTCACAAAGCTCCCTCAACATCTGATATCCTACTGCATACTAACTGCTAAATAGATTCGGAAACATGGAAACCCCTGCTATTCTAACTCTCCCTGTACATGTAGGAACCAAATACAAGAGATATCTGTATTTAGTGGGCACCAACCACGAGCAGGTGCTGCCCAGGGGCTGGCAGTGAGCACACTCCACTCCCTGACCTGCATAGCACTTGTTTCCAAATGGAGGAGACAGATGACACATCAACAAACACGCAGCTATGCAGGACGGCATCAGGTAGTGATGAGGGCCATCCTGAATAAGGGACAGAGAGTGCAGCAAAGGAATAGGGCTGGGGGTGCTACTTTAGACATATGATGAGGGAAGGCTCACAGGGCAGATGGCCTGGAGAGGTGGAGTGAGCCTTGCAGACAGCTGGAGACTGGGTGTCCCAGAGGGAGAGAAAGAACTGTAGGTGCAGGTGCAAGGCCCTGTGGTTGAAGGGACCTGATATCTATGAACAGCAAGGAGGTTAGTGACACTGCAGAGGTAGCGAGCAGAGGAGAGTAGAGCAGAGGTGGCTGGGTCCAGGGCCAAGGCCCCACAGGGCTCCAGAGGTCCTGATCAGGACTTCCAGTTGTATTCAGTTATCACAGGAAGCCCCTGAGGGGATGGAGCAGGACAGTGAGGGGTCAAATACATTACTCTGGCTATGAGAACAGACTGGACTTGGGAAGGTGGGCACTGCTGCTGCCCTATGCCTTGGCCTCTGCATGAGAAAAGCCATGTACCAGAGGGAGGATGCAGGCTTTACCACAAAGGCTATTTCTCTGCCTGCTCTTAGGCTTTGGAGTTTAAGCTGCATCAGAGATTCACTCCAACCTCACTTCCAGGACACTGACTCCACCAGCCACCCCTGCTGGAGGCTAGAGCACAAGAAGTCTGACCTCTGGGGAGATGAGGTAAGCTCTCAAGCTCTCCATGGCCAGCCAGAAAGGGAGAGGAAAGCTGAAGCTCTTCCTTTCCATGGACCTCGAACTAAGACACGTTCTCAAAGGGTAACAGCCATCTTCATGCCTCCCCTGACCTCCCCTGGTCTACAGCAGCAGATCCAGGACTGCCCAGCCACAATCTCTGCTAGTCTCACCACTCAAACAGGCCCTCAAACACCTCTGTGCATACCTGTTCAAACCCTCGGAGTGAGAAAGCCTGCAGGAACTGAGGCAGCCCCCCAGACAACCATCTTGTGTCTTGAAAGATGAGGAAAGTAAATCATGTTTTTAGATCAAGTGCGGAACTAGAGCTACACAGCTGCACCCATACTGTACCATACACACTCCTTTGTCTGCCTTGTCTTTTCTCCAATCTTCCTCTCTCCTCTCCCTCCTTGGTGCTTCATAGACACCAAGTGCTTAGGGTGGGCAGCAGGACTGAGAACTGAAAATGTTATAGATTTGGTCTTTCAAAAGCAGAGAAGTAAATATAGTTAGCCTTGAATAACATGGGTTTGAACTATGTGAGTCCACTTATACATAGATTTTTTTCGGTAAATACGTCCTGGAGTACTACATGATCCTCAGTTGGTTGGAACCGCCAGTGCAGAGGGCCCGATTATAAAGTTATACACAGATTTTCAAATGCGCAGAGTCAGCACCCCTAATCCCCATGTGTTCAAGAGTCAACTGTACTTGCATAAAGCCTTTCAACAAACATTACTCCTACCTTGATGATGAAGCCATGGTATATTGTGAACATGAGGTTGTCTTTAATTGCAGAGTCTAAGAATCTGTAAGAAAACAGAAGTCAGTTTTAAGAAATCATATCTTAATTAGCAAAGGAATAGGACCTTCTCTACCATTTAAGGGAAAAAAATCTCAAGATTCACTATCAACCAGAGGGAAATGGATCAAGTACACACAGGAAATGAGGTGTAGTTGACTGGCTAGTCAGAGGGAAAAAGAACAAGCTCCCCCATCTCATACCTCACAACAAAATACATTCTAGAGCAGGGTTTCCCACAGTCAGAACTATTGGCATTTTGTTTCTTGTGGGGGGGGCTGCCCTATGTATTATGTGATGTTTAACAGCATCCCAGGCCTCCATCTACTAGATACCAATAGAACAACTACCCCACTAGTTGTGAAAAACGAAAAGGTTTCTAGACAAATGTCCTCTGGTGGGGAGAGTAGGAGGTAAAATCTCCCCTGGTTGAAGACTACTGTCCTACATCAGCACTGCCAATAGAACTTGCCACAATGATAGAAATGTTTTATATCAGTGCTGTCCAATATGGTAGCCATAAGCCACATATGGGTATTAACCACTGGATATATGGCTAGTGTGACTGAGAAATTGAATTTTTAATTTTATGTAATTTTAAGTAATTCAAATTTAAATAGTCACATGTGGTGGCTACTATATTAGATAGTGAAGTCCTAGATGTATTAAGTATTAATTGCAAAAAAGCAAAACTTCTAAAGTATATTAATGACCACAGAGGGAAACCTTTCTTATAGAAAACACAGAAACTTAAAGGAAGGTGGATAATTTTAACTACATCAAACTTCCAACAAATCTGTAGTAGGCAGAAGGCCCAAAGGACCCCAAATAGGTTGAACTCAAATAGGGCTACACCAAGACACATTATAATTAAATTGTCAAAAGTCCAAGACAAAGAAAGAATTTGGAAAGCAGCAAGAGAAAGAGAAATTACATACAGGGGAATCCCTATAAGACTAGTATCAGATTTTTCAACAGAAACTTTTCAGACCAGGAGAGAATGGGATGATATATTGAAAATGTAGAAAGAAAAAACTATCAGCTAAGAATGTTATTCCCAGCAAGCTGTCCTTCAAAATTGAAGACATAAAGACTTTAACAAGCAAACAAAAGCAGAGGGTGTTCATACCACAAGACCTGATTTAAAAATAATGCTAAAAGGAATTCTTCAAGTAGAAGTAAAAGGGCACTAATTGTATCATAAAATCATAGGAAGAGAGTGTAAAACTCATTGGTAATGGTAACTATGAAGTCAGTCAGGTAATAGGGGTGTATAATTCACTAACAACTCTAGATTTAAAGTTAAAAGTTAATGCATATATGTAGATTCTAGAAAAATGGTACCGATGAACCGGTTTGCAAGGCAGAAATAGAGACACAGATGTAGAGAACAAATGTATGGACACCAAGGGGGGAAAGCAGGGGGAGGGGAGTGGAGGGGTGGGATGAATTGGGAGATTGGGATTGACATATATACACTAATATGTATAAAGTAGATAACTAATAAGAACCTGCTGTATAGCACAGGGAACTCTACTTCGTTTTACTGTACAGTAGAAACTAACACAACATTGTAAAACAACTATACCCCAATTTAAAAAAAAAGGAAAAAAAACATTCTAAAACAACTATAACTACAATAATCTGTTATTAGATACATACTATAAAAAGTATGTAAACTGTAGCATCAATAATCTAAAATGTGAGGGGGAGGAGAAGTAAAAGAGTGAAGTTTAGAAATGTTATAGAAGTTAAGGTGTTACCAGTTTAAAATAGGGAGCTATCATTTCAAGATTATTTTATGTAAACCTCATGGCAAACACAAAAGAAAAACTTATTGTAGTTACACAAAAGAATATGATAAAGAAGTCAAGGCATAATGATACGATAATTCATCAAATCATAAAAGAACACAACAGGAATAGAACAAAGGATTTATAAAACAGAAAACGATGAACAAAATGAAAACAGTTAGTCCTTACCTATCAATAATTACTTCAAATGTAAATTCATTAAATTATCTGACCAAAAGCCACGGAATGGCTTAATGGATAAAAAAGAAAGATCCAATGATATGCTACTGACAAGATATTCACTTGACCTTTAAATATACATATAGGCTGAGTGTAAAAGGATGGAAAAAGATATTTCAAGCCAATAGTAACCAAAAAAAAAAAAGAAAGCAGGGGTAGCTATACTTACATCAGTCGAAATTAACTTTATTAAAATGGAAACAAGAAAATAAGATAATTACATAATGAAAAACAACAATCCATCAAAAGATATAACAATTGTAAATATTTAAGCACTAAATATTTGAGCACCTAAATATATAAACCAAATACTAAGAGAACAAAAAGGAGAAATAAATGGCAATAAGGTAAGAGTGGGGGACTTTAATACCCCACTCTCAACAATGGTAGATCATTCAGACAAAGAATCAATAAGGAAACATCAGACTTGAACACCACTATAGACCAAACGCACATAAAAGACATATACAGAACATTCTATTCAACAATAGAAAAATATACATTCTTCTTAAGCACACACAGAACATTTACTGGGATGTTAAATGTTAGGCCACAAAAAAGTCTTACCAAATTCAACAAGACCAAAATCATACTAAGTATCTTTCCTGAACACAGTGGTATAAAGCTAGAAATCAGTAACAGGAGGAAAACCAAAAAACTCAAGAATGCACAAAAATAATTCTCCTGAACAATCAATGTAGCAAAGAAGAATTAAAAGGAAACTAAAAAAGTATCTTGAAACAAACAAAAATGGAAACACAATATAAAAAACAGGGGATGTTAGCAAAAGCAGTTTTAAGAGGGAAGTTTATAGCCATAAACACATACAGAACGAAAAGACAACTATCTCTAACAAATGACCCAACTTTACACCTCAAGGAACTAGAAAAAAGAACAAACTAAGCTTAAAGTTAGCAGAAGGAAGGAAACAATAAAGATTAGAGCAGAAATAACTAAAGGAGAGAAGAAAAAAATGAGAAAAGATGAACAAAACTAAGAGTTTGTTCTTTGAAAAGATAAACAAAATTGACAGACCTTTAGCTAAACTATCCAAGAAAAAAAAACAAACCAACAAAATTATAAATCAAAGAGGAGACATTACAACTGATACCACAGAAATACAAAGGATCTGTGCACCTGAAACTATCACATTGTTAACCAGCTATACTCCAGTACAAAATAAAAAGTTAAAAAAAAATACAAAGGATCATAGAGGGTAGTAGGAACATTTATCTGCCAACACACTGGACAATGTAGAAGAAATGGATAATTCTTAGAAACAAAAAATATACCAAGACTGAATCAAGAAAAAAGAGAAAAACTGAATGAACCAGTTACTAGTAAGGAGACTCAATCAGTACCCAAAACCTCCCAACAAAGAAAAGCCCAGGACCAGATGGATTCAAGGTGAATTTTACCAAACATTTAAAGAAGTAATGCCAATCCTTCCCAAACTCTACCAAAATATCAAAGAGAAGGGAACACCCCTAAACTCATTTACAAGGTCAGTATTACCATGATACCACAGCCAGAATAAGGACATTACAAGGAAGGAAAACTACAGACAAATATCCTTGATGAATACAGATGCAAAAATTCTAAATAATATACTATCACACCAAATTCAATAGTACATTAAATGATCAAATGGGGTTTATCACAGGAATGCAAGGATTCTTCAATATATGCAAACCAATCAATGTGATATGCTGTATTAACAAATTGAAGGATAAGAACCATATGATGATCTCAATAGATGCAGAAAAAGCTTTCGACAAAATTCAACAGCCATTTATGATAAAAACTCTCCAGAAAGTAGACTAGAGGGAACCTGCCTCAACATAATACAGGCCATATATGAAAACCCACAGTCAGCATCATTCTCAATGGTGAAAAACAGAAACCATTTCCTCTAAGATCAGGAACGACACAAGGGTGCCCACTCTCACCATTATCATTCAACATAGTTTTGGAAGTTTTAGCCACAGCAATCAGAGAAGAAAAAGAAATAAAAGGAATCCAAATCAGAAAAGAAGAAGCAAAACTGTAACTGTTTGCAGATGACATGATACTATACATAGAAAATCCTAAAGACACTACCAGAAAACTACTAGAGCTAATCAATGAATTTGGTAAAGTAGCAGGGTACAAAATTAAGGCACAGAAATCTCTTGCATTCCTATACACTAATGATGAAAAATCTGAAAGAGCAATTAAGGAAACACTCCCATTTACCACTGCAACAAAAAGAACAAAATACCTAGGAATAAACCTACCTACGGAGACAAAAGACCTGTATGCAGAAAACTATAAGACACTAATGAAAGAAATGAAAGACGATACAAACAGATGGGGAGATATACCATGTTGTTGGATTGGAAGAATCAACATTGTGAAAATGACTATACTACCCAAAGCAATCTACAGATTCAATGCAATCCCTATCAAACTACCAATGGCATTTTTCACTGAACCAGAACAAAAAATTTCACAATTTGTGTGGAAACACAAAAGACTCCGAATAGCCAAAGCAATCTTGAGAATGAAAAACAAGAGCTGGAGGAATCAGGCTCCCTGACTTCGGACTATACTACAAAGCTACAGTAATCAAGACAGTATGGTACTGGCGCAAAAACAGAAATATAGATCAATGGAACAGGGTAGAAAGCCCAGAGATAAACCCACACACATATGGTCACCTTATCTTTGATAAAGGAGGCAAGAATATACAATGGAGAAAAGACAGCCTCTTCAATAAGTGGTGCTGGGAAAACTGGACAGTTACATGTAAAAGAATGAAATTAGAACACTCCCTAACACCATATACAAAAATAAATTGAAAATGGATAAAAGACCTAAATGGAAGGCCAGACACTATAAAACTCTTAGAGGAAAACATAGGCAGAACAGTCTATGACAGAAATCACAGCAAGATCCTTTTTGACCCACCTCCTAGAAGAAATGGAAATAAAAC